ATTTTTCTTCCTTTCTGGAACGCGTATTACTATTATGGCCAATAGAGATGGGGACCGAACTGCACGTGTTTTTACCCAAATATGGAGGGTTCTCTTATAATGGACTTATATTCCTTAGTAGCTTTGTTTTAAGACATGCTCACTATTAATCGAGGACCATTTATTAAAAATTTAAGGATATATGAGTCTAGTTTATTACCGTCATCTCGGGATCACACCGGTGGCCTTTAGGTTATTCCGCTAGCAATATAACCACTCTACTGATAGATTCTGTGTACACTTAAGTTATATTTTCATAGTATAATTGCTCAAAATACATTAGGTACTTGCGTTCAAATAAAATCTACAGCTTATTGTTATATTGTTATTTAATTGATTTTTCTTTGATTAAATGTTGTTGTTAACAATTTGCATTTGTGTTTAAAGTGAGTTCCTTATGTTAAGTATGCGATTCTAATGTTATGTGCTTAATCTGTACCATTAATATTAGTGAGTTAAGTGGTGGATGGATTTCACAACCATTATTTTACTAGAGACCGTTGTATTTAACCCCAACGGGCTCTGTTGCTAGTGATATATATTTTAAGTTACTAATTTTGTCTTATGTAGCAATTTTATAATTCTGCAATAATTGTCTTTAACTGTAATATCTTCAGTAAGTTTGTTACATATAAGTTTTAACATTCTGCTTTAATCATGCTTCAACATCCGTGAGTTATTAACGTTAAGGGACAACACTGGTAATCACTGGTTCATCTATTTTAAAGGTAAATTACTAACTTTTTATTGATTACAGCGATACTCTTTGCTAACGACAGTTCTTTGAGGAGGTCCTCTGGTCGTTTAAGTGGCAGTTTATTATTACACTGCCTATTAAGTGTCGTCGACCGACGCAAGTTTTGACATTTAAAGGCCACTAGGGTGGGGGGGGGATGGATCAATGACGTCGCCGCTAACTTGTCTTCAATAAACATTGCTCTGCACCTGCACCGAAGGTTATTATAAGCTAAACTTTACTGCACATCTAAGAATTGTTATCAACAGAAAACTTATTGACTATCATCTAAAACGCTAAACTCTTCTCCACCTCTATGAAATCTTATATTAAGTAAAAGATAATAACTTTTTATCTTCTAACAAATCTTATCTTGAGTAAACTTAATTGTTCTGCACACCTTTCCAAGTCTGCTCTGCAATAAACTTAACTGTTCTGCACCTACACCGAAGGTTATCATAAGCTAAACTTTACTGCATATCTAAGAATTTTTATCAACAGAAAACTTATATTAAATATCATCTAAAACGCTGAACTCTTCTCCACCTCTATGAAGTCTTATCTTTAGTAAAAGATAATAACTTATCTTCTAACAAATCTTATCTTCAGTAAACTTAATTGTTCTGCACACCTTTCCAAGTCTGCTTTGCAATAAGCTAAAGTGTTCCACCGTGGCCGTGGTTCCGCCTTCCGTAAAGTGTTATCTACGATATAACTGTTCTCACTACTACAACGTCATCTAGATTTA